CGAACAAACTATCATTCATGCCAAATTATAAGGTACTAATCGAAAATTTCCCTTAACCGGGCCCACCACAGCCCATAATCTCATTTGGGCGGGAAGCAAAATACAAATTGTAGAAATGGGTGTGGAAGAGATCTCAGCCGACTGATTTGTTTGAGACGGTGGCTTCATTTTCGGTGGGCTCCACTATCTATATAAGCTGTAGACTTCGACTGCTATTAATTATTAAACTTCAAAATGACGGAAGGATCTGAGCTTAACCATGTCATTTCCATTGTTCAATGCTGCTCGCGGTTACACTGTATCGTWKGCCCAGCTCTTGCGCATGAATTAAATTGACCCCAGGTTCAATCATCTGGTAATACTTGACCGGCCATAAATCATGGGGATGCATGCCTCCAACAGCCAAAGTTTTTCCTAAATCATAATTCTACTCCGGGGATACCGGTTCATTAGCTTGACCAGTAATTCAACCGTCTCTGCGACTGCAGACGGTAAGTCTACTCTACCAAAACAGTACATCATTACTGGAAAAGCAGATTTGCCATTTTTGAAAAGTATAATATTATAAAAAACACGATATAGCATTTGTTTCATATAYTTGTACTTTTGCTTTCATACTTTAAAGTATTAGTGGTTCCCTCACCCTTGTAAGTTAAGGCACTCTATTTTATTCCCGCCTCCACCCCAATGGCGAGGTGGGTTTGAGGTGAGGCACTCATTTCTCGTCGAGGATAGGAAATTTCTAAATTTTTCTCACAATGAGGCAATCATTTAAAAAAATCTAATTTATGAATATTTTGAAAATAGGATTATGAGAATTTGGGGGTATTTTATGATTATGCCAATTTGGGCATGCTTTATAAATAAAATTATGGGACCTAGGATTATAAGAATATGAGGAAAACTTAGAGATATTTAAAACAAATAATATTAAATCTATGAATATTTTATTAATTTACCATCAGGTTTGGAGAATTATATACAAACCCCATCCCTAATTTGGGGCAAAAAATATTTTTCCTGTCCCCCACCTTGTTCGGGGCGGGTAGGGTAGGGCCCTAGTTTTAAAGGGAAAATTGCCATCCCTATAATTCTAATAAATTTCTATAACTAATTAACTAACAATAAATTAAATCACAATAGATTATAATATTTTATGATAATTTCCAAAATATTATTGAAATTTCTATAGATTAGTAGTAATGTATAGTAAATTAATTATTTATAATAACAATAAGTTAATTTAAATTATTTACCTTTTAAGGTTAAATTGTTTGCTATTAATCAATGTAATTATAATAAATTAATGTATTATTAAAAATTACATTATTTTTAATTAAAAGTAAACCATTTGTTGTTAACTAATGTAAACCATATATGATCTAAGTCAACCAAGTGGTCTAAGTTGATGTGGATAGACTTAATAATTTTCCTACATTATTTAATATTTTTTATTGAAATAATAATAATAATGGGTTGTAATTTAAATAATTATGAAACAATTTCTGATAGATTAATTTACTAATCTAATTTTCATAAACTGTTAATAATTATTTGTTGAATATAATAATTTATTATTATTTAAATAGTTTTGGAAAATATTTATTTCATAGATTAATTTCTTAATTTTTAAATTACTTATTTAGAAAATAATTGTGGATTATTAGTAAAGAGTTCCCCTCAATTATTTGATAATTGTTAACTATAATTATTGATTTTATAGAAACTACTAAATTATGCTAATTAGAAATATCTTTTATCAATAAATTATTATTGTAAAATTATAATACTATTAATACATAATTTTGTTATTTTAACTATTTAAAATCTAGTTATGTTAAATATTTTGTTATTTATCTAAATATTTAAAATCTTAATCTATTTATTATAATTGAAAGTCATTCAGTAACTATTTAAAATATATTATTAATTGATTTAAAACATTAATTTTAATACTTTGTTATTTAATATATTTAGTTATTCAAATATTTAAGTAATATTTCATTTTTAGTGTTATACTTTTATTATTTGAATAAAATTTAGATTGAATAATTCAAAAAATCATAATTTATATTGTTTGTACATAATTTTGCGCTAAATTTTGTAAAAATAAGTAATTATTAATAATATGAATATTATTAAATTGATTATAATCATTTTTTGTCTTTTTAATAAACATTTTAAGGTTATTATATAATTTTGTTAGAATATTTAAATAATTATTAAATTTTTTAATTCAAACATTCTTTAGATGGATGTTGATAAAAAGTGGGGGAGAAGATAAAAAAGAATTAGAGATAATTTAGGAGAGAAACTCTTTTAAATTAGAGATAGCTTAAGAGAAAGTTGGGGATAGTGGGGGAGGTTGTTTAGGAGAAATTTTAGGATATTAGATTTTTTAGGTTATTGGAACGTGTGTGTGTGGGAGAGAGAGAGAGAGATTTTATGAAGATTTTTTTAGGAAAGTAGAGTTTCTAATTGGTAGTTTAAAAGATGACATTGATTAAAAAATTATAAAATTAAAGAAAATGAGAAAATTTCTAGACTTCATTGTTTTAATATATATGGCTACATTTGTTTTCAGTCTAAATGTGAATTGACGTAAATTTCCATCGTTGGTTCGTGTTTGCATGTGCTTAGTTTTAGTGTAAATACGGATTGGTGTAAATAGGGATGCAAATAAATCGGATTGGATCAGATTCAAATCAGTGTATATCCGAATCCGATCTAACATTGTTGCAGATCCAATCGGATCTAATAAACATGGATCTATATTCGAATCCGATGAGAAAATCAAATTTTCAGATCTGATCCAATCCAATTTCATTTGATTATTAAAAATTAATAAATTATTAAAAAAAATAAAACATAACAATTTAAATAAAGAAAAACAAAAACTACAAGTATCTTTTTAACTATTTTCATTATATATATACATATTTTTTATAAAAAATTAAATAATATAATAAATTTATAAAAATATAACATAAATAATATATTTATAAATAAATAATTAAATAATATATCAGATCAGATAGGGGGTGATCCTATTTTTGATCGTACCCTATCATCCAATCCGATCCGATCCAAAGATCCGGAGTCCGAAATATGCCTAGGTGTAAAACTCCATTCTCGACCAACAACTGAGTTTTCTATCGATAATCGATTAACCCATCGATTGAGTTTTACATCAATGAACTTTAATCCTATATCTACTCACCGTTGCTAAAGTCAAACCACTATTGTCGGTCTCTGACCATAACACCACAAAACCATCATCAAAAGCACAAACGGATATTCATTTTACTAAATAGAAAATAATACTTCTTATTTGGAAAGCATACTTTTCAATTTTTTTTTTTACTCAAAACGGTTTTTAAAGTAGGTATTAGTCATTGGTGTACGTCTGATTTGTAAACACCATTTTCTCTTACTTTTTGTTGGGAGACGTGCTGCCACATAGGCTGGTTTTCAGAAAACAATACTGGTTTTATTTGGTACTAATGCTCTTGAACAGTTTTCAGCATTTGTCTATATTATCCAACGTTCAAGATGATGCCACATCATTGCACCTTGGCAGCAATGGGTTGTTTTCTGAGAAAGTATTGAATTTGGCATTTCTTGAGACCACACTTTCCCTAGTTTCAAAGCATGGTCTGAAGCAAGATTCTTCTGGAAAGACGGAACCAAATAAGAGGTCATTTTCTGAAGCACTGCTTTTTTCTGATGTGGCGCTTATGTGGTGTCGTTTTCTCAAACAACAACATTAATGCCAAGCACCGCCAAAGCAAAAATACCAAAATAATATTTAATGTAATTTGTATCGAGGTTTTAAAAATCGACTTGAAAGCTAAACCACTTTGGCCACCGGTTTCCGAACCAGCAATTTGAGCATCCTGGTCAAAACGGTCAAGGTATATCTTGACCATTGATTTAGCCTTTAGGTCACACGTTGGGAAGAAATACAAATAGAGAGAAGTAATTGTAACTTGTATGTTGTTGGCTAGGAAAGAAAGAAAGGAGGAGGAGGAGGAGGACCATTTTGGACTGATTCAATTCAATGTTTGGACCATCCAATTTGTTCAAATTCATTTTAATTTAGATTGGTTTCAACCCAAACTCGGTCCATTGACACCTATATTCTTATCTTATATCAATGGACCGAATATTGGCTTAATCCAACCAAATCCAATATAAATTTATTACGGATAGACCAGGTCCAATCCAATCTAATAAATATTTTGGACCAGATTGATCCAATCCACTGTTCTTTTGGTCTTTTCAATCCGTTTGAATTGATTTTGGATTGGATAGGGTCTAGTCCAAAACCCGTCCATTCACATCCTTACTCTCATTGGTCTCAGATTTGAGGTCTAAAAACTGATCTCATTTCAATCCCTCCCCCATCTCTCGATATGCTCTTGTTAACAATTTAGTAAACTATGAACCACTACCTAGGTCAAACGGTTTAGTGGTCGAATCGCTTGGGTCAGCGGTTTTTTGAAATTTTCAACTTTACTTTTTGAAAAAAGCAATTCATAATATAACCAAAATCGAAGGCCTGGCCAGTTCATAGATTTTCTAGTCTAGCCATCTGGTCGAGTCCAGTTTTGAAAACATTGATTTGTACTATGATATTTTTAAGGAAGAATGACTGTTTAACCCACYCCAGGATTCTTAGCCTGCCGTATAGATGAGATGACTCTCCACTTTGGATTGATACCAAAACCATGAACAGGATGTGGTTTATAGGGGACTACTAATAATGCAGTGTATTTCACTTATGCAAAATTCTAAATTCCACCTCCATTTTATACATCAATGTCTTCCCATAAATTAGCATCAATTCCGAACTAACACCTACCCCAACTATACTTTAGGCCTAAAATTTCTGACCCGTCTTCTCCCAATTAAAATTTTATCAAACAGCGACTTAAATCACAGCATATTTAAAAAAAAGTAAGGTCAGGCCAATGCAGATTTCTAAATTCTACTAAAGATCTATAAACATTCAAAATGTGAAAAACCCCCTCTCTATACACCAATGCCCGCCCGTATTTTCTTCCTGCCCCCATCTTTCAAATTCGATAGCCACAGAATCAGACAAATTTTCAGAAAAAAAAAGGAAAAGAATATTATATACAACTCTGCAAACAAAGCTAAGCTCACATAATCACATTATACAGCCTAACCCATAAGACTATCTTGCATCTGATCATCTGCCTATCAATTCAAATCCAACGGTGGAGAATGCTCAGCTACTGATGTCACAGTCAGATACTCAGATTACACCACCGCTGGCCCCCATCACTCCATCAGTGCCTTCTTTAGCTCCTCACTTACATCCCCCTCCGTCCCGTTCCCGCCGACGAATTCCGACGACTTCCTATCTCCGTTCCCCCGTCGATCGTTCCTTCCACCATTTCTTCCCATGTCTCTGTACTTACCCGAATCCTGATTTCCGATTAGTGGGGCTCGCTTCCCGGCGCCGGCTTCCGTCCGGAGGTCCTCGATTGCCTTTCTCAACAAGCCGTTCTCCGCTTGCATCATCTCGAGCTGATGCTTGACCGAGAAGCACGCCTCCGCTTCGTCAACATTCCCGGAGGAGAACAAAGAAGCTGGGACCTTCTTCGGAATATCTTTTAAATCTTCTTCTGCCACGTGTTCGACAGAGATTTTTCTCATCACCATCAACGGAATCTTGCGCAGCGATATCTGAGCCGTTGAACGTGTGATCCCGTCCTCCTTGAAAGCAGCCTTGAGCTCCGGCGGAAACTTGAGGCCCCACCGGAATTTCAGAATAGCATGGTTTCTCACCGGCAGGATGGTTCTCGCGCAAACCTCCACTCCTGAAAACAGGCCGTCAATCGCGTTGGCGGAATCATGAGCCTCTGGCGAGAAACCGCTAACCTTCTCGGCGAAAAAGGATACGCTTTCAGGCCTGTATACGCCGTTCGCTGACGGAGTTTCTCCGTCGTCAACAGACTCTTCTGCTTCCGAGTCGATATCCTTTCCTTTCGGATTGACTTTGGGGGCGAACACGGACGACTGCGACAAGACGATCGGCGAACTGGTGCATTTCTTGATGGAGAAATCGCCGAATTGAGGCTTGAACTGGATGAAGAAACTAGGGTTACCACGGCGAAGGAGATTGAACTCAGCACTCATCGTCATGGGGGCGGAGAACGGGGATCCGAAGTTTCCTATTCCGGTCTTCAGGACGAGGCTGAACGGGTTCCATGAATCGTTGGGACGATAGGCGATTCTCAGCGACGGGCCTGATTCGAAGAGAGTACCGAGATTCAAGCACAGCTCCTTGGAGTCGCCGGCCGAGATGCCCGACTGGAAAGGGAGCCCCAATATACAAAGAGGAACTTTTGCCCTGAAAAGGGGCTTTTGATCCTCTCGAAATTTGAGAGAAGCTTTCATCGTTTTCCCCTTCTCTGCTCAAAACAAACCCTAAATCGTCATTGATAGAGGCCTTCTTGGTGTGTGTATTACAGTATTACTTGGTGGTGGACTGGTGGTGCACATGCCGAACTGAACTGGTTTCTTAGTTCCTCGTAGCCGTATGTAATAAGTAGGGAACTTTGCTGTAATAAGTACTCGATTTAGCGGAGATTACGCCAAATTTGGCCGGATTAAGCCTTGGGTGTCTGTAGATGATGGCAGCTACCACCACATCTGTGGGTACTGGAAACATCCTTGATTTTGTCTAGAATTACTAAAATGGAATAGGAAGCATATCTGAAGGTTGTCTTCGTAATTTGGGAAAGAAAATGGGCTTTAATGCTGAGATACTGGATAAGAAAATTAGAAATGACAGACACGTGGCAGTGGATGAGTCGTTTTAGGCTTTTGGCAATTACGAAGCTCTTCACCTTCACCGGCAAAAGCGTGTCAATTTGGGGAATCGTCACGTGTTTAGGCACGAGGCAAGCAGTAGCTGCTGCATCCTGATTGGATTGACTGATCAGCAATTGCAAGTTAATTGGAATTTTGGGATCTGTTCCTCATATTGCGCGTCTCACACCGACTTCACCCTGTATTCGGAACATCGCTCATGTTTTGAGGTTGACGTGAGGCGCGCACTATGAAGAGCAGATCCGGACTCAAGTTAATGAAACTATGCATGTTATCTTCTCTATATTTTAATATTATATCATATATTGTATATATAAATATTATAATATGATATATAATAACTTATATTATATAATATATAAAATAAAAGATATTGACCCAAAATTAGGCCCAACCCGGTCCATGATCATCCCTGGTTTTAGCTTTCAATGAGATGCTAAGATGATTTATGGATAAATTAAATAAAATAAAATTATGTTTAATATCATTGCCATTTCTACATACATTTAGGTTGAACAATACAAATTTTTGAGAAATTATCTCATCACTGTATCGAATGCTAGAATATAATTTTTTTGGCCCAAGAAATTAAGTAGAGTCCAACATGAAATAAAATCAAAAGGGGTTGTTGGGTCCACTAAGAGGAGGGATTTTTTAGGTGGGACCCAGTGTGTTAGCTTATTAGCCCAAAGAGATACTAGCAGGGTCTAATAAAAAGACAAATTACAGGAAGTGATTTAATCACTTGATTTCCAAGTGCACCGGTCTTATACAGAGATTAATTCGGAAAGAAAATCACAAATTGAAACTTGTCACTAAATGATAGATTGATAAAATTTTAATTATGATTTAGTAGATCCCATTTAAAAGACAACTAGRATTTGATATGAGCTTAATTGATCCAATATAAAAGGAAATAATGATTGCTTAATGGACTCAATGATACGTGGCCCCGACCACCCCTTTTGCCTTGATCTCAAGTGTTGGGATTTTAGTCAAACCCACTTACCTTAATAAGGCATGTTGGGAATTAGTAAATTCATCACCGAATCATCAAAATTGGTGGGTCACATGTCAATCAACCTTAAATTATGGCCATATAAATGGCAAGCATGAAAATTCAAATTAATTTGGATTTATTGGGTGGATTCATTTAAGAATGAAAACACTATAAATTAAAGAGTAGAAGGAGAGTCCCCTCCTTTGGCTCCCCTTTCGGCTACTCAATTTCTTTTCTTTACTTTTGTTGCTTTTGACAAAGAAGAAGGAGTCAGGCTGCATCAAGATTAAGGGAAGAACAATCATAATTTCGGCTCCTCAACCATTTAAGTTTTGAAACCGTTACAACTCCGTGTCACGTCGATTGAAGGATTCCAGCCTTTGAGTTATTGTAATGAGTTTGTATTCCATTTACATTTCTACAAAAAAATAATAATAATAATTAAATTTCTTTGAATTTGTCAACATTTTTTTATGCTCCAAATTTATGCACAAAATTTATGTTGACAAATTTATGGCACGCCCGGTGGGACAAATCAACCATTGAAGCTCCGATGGTTCAACCATTTTATGCATAAATTTAGAGCACAAACAATGCAGACAAATTCAAAATTTTCTTTCTTTTATTTTTTTTTTTTTGCAGAAATGTAAGTGGGATACAAACTATTTTCTTGGGCAAAAAAAAAAAAACCCTAATTTTCTTGTCATGAACACAACCCGAACTTGTATTTATAGCTTGTCACGAATACGATCCGAAAAACTTGACAACTTATAGTTGTAAAAAGAACTTGTAATTATCAATTATATGCGCATAAGATAGGAGAATTTTCTTCTTTTTTTTCGATGTAGTAATTTGATGAAGCTTTTAATTGCAGCAACTCAAAGGCCGGAATCCTTCAGCTGATGTGGCACGGAGTTGTAATGGTTACAAAGCTTCAATGGTTGAAGAGCCGAAACTATGATTCTTCTTCCCTTCTTGGTGCAGTCTGTTTCTTCTTTCTTCTTCTTTATCAAAAGCAACGAAAGTAACTGAGATGAATTGTTTTACTTGTTAAGTGAATCCGCCTAATAAATTCAAACTTGAATTTCCATGCTTGCCATTTATTTGGCCATAATTTAAGGTTGATTGACATGAGTCCCATCAATTTTGATGATTCGGTGATCAATTTACTAAACTCCAATATGTCTTATTAAGGCAAGTGGTTTGACTAAAATCCCAACACTTGGGATCAAGTGCCATTTGGCAAAAGGGGTTGGGGCCACGTATCATTGAGTCCATTAACCGGCCATTATTTCCTTCTATATTGGATCAATTAAGCCCATATCAAATTCTAGTTGCCTTTTAAATGGGATCTATCAAATCATAATTAAAAATTTGTCGATCTGTCATTTAGTGACAAGTTCCAATTTGTGATTTTCTTTCCAATTCGATCTTTGTATAAGACCGGTGCACTTGAAAATCAAAATCAAGTGATTTAATTCACTTCCTTTAATTAGCCTTTCTATTAGACTATGCTAATATATTTCAACAGGCATTTATAGTGAAAACATCAAATTTAAAGTTTTAGGTGGTATTCGTTGGTGTGGATTGGCCACGATCTATTCAGTTTCAATCCACACCACCACTATGCCATGCGCTTTATTGGCTGTAGTGTGGATTTATCCACACTATCTCGTGGATTGGTCCATACCACAGTTCATTTTCTCACCCACAGGTTTATCTCGTGGAAGCATCTACACCACACCGTTTTGCATATGGAATAATGATCCCATACTTCGCATGGATGTTTAACCCTAGTATAAGATTTATTTTCTTCTTACCGTTGCAACACTTCTTTGTAAGCTCGCCGTTGTTATTCTTCTCTAGGGGTGAGCAAAAAAAAATAGAAAAACCGAACCGAAAAATCAGTTAATCGAACCAATCGATTCAGTTTCGGTTAGGTGTTTCTAAAAAACCAAAGGTACTGGTTCAGTTTTGGTTAATCAATATAGAAAACCAACGGTTAACCAAACTGACCAGTATACATATATTTCTATATATTTTTATAATATATTATAAAAATTAAAAAACTGAAAAACCGACAAACCGAACCGGTCAACTAGTTAATCGACTGCTTTCAGTTACCGATTTTCCAAAAATCGGTAGTACTGGTTTGGTCCAAGAAAAAGCCCCACGGTTCGGTTAACCAAACCGTGAGCACCCCTATTCTACGCTACTCGTCATTGCTATTCTTCTTTATTTGAATTATGGTTGTAATWGGATCGGACTTAGATCGGATGCAACAAAACCCACATTCAATCCGATTATTGATAACCTACATTTAAATCCAATTGGCTTGGATTCGAATTCAAATCCTAACAGACTCGGATCAGATCCGGATTTAATTTGACTCCACTATAAATTTTCTAATATACCAGAAAAATAAAATTTATTTATTTTTCAACTTTTATATATAATAAATTAATATAAATATAACATACTAAATTATTATATATAAATTCATATATAATATAATATATAGAATATATTTTTATAATTTTAAATACAATTATATAAAATTTATATATTAAAATTAATAAATATTTATAATAATCGGTTTCATATTTTAATCGGATCGAATGGGGTCAAATCTGAATCCAATTCAATTATTAATCAGATGTAGACTGTAACATCCTAATCCAATCCGATTACATAAATACATCATTTGAATATGAGATAATCGGATCGGATGTTAGATCAGGCCTTGGATTTTCGGGTATTACTAGCAAACCTAGTTTGAACTACTTGCGACTCTTCCTCCTCTAACCAATGCTGCATTGGATCGTTAATGGTAACTAGTAAGTATTCATCCTTTGTTTATTCTCATGCTATATTACTCTTCTCTATTTGAACCACTCGCCATTGTTACTTGATGAATCGATTTTTATTGATGTATCAATTTTTTGGCTAAGTACCTCGTCATTTGGTCTGCTTTCAAGTGGCCGATGACTCAGGCCGAAGTGGAGAACTTTGGCTGCCGAGCGGAATCGAGTTGGGTAGGCTAGGTGGCAAGCTAGCTATAGTGTTGAGCTGCCTATAAGGTGTCGAGCTGCCTGTGAGGTGGCGGGTTGACCAGGTGCTGAAATGGCTGTGAGGTGCCTGGCTAGCCAGGTGCCGAGCTGGATTGATGAGTTTCGTTGCTCTTTAGAGACCTGCAAGGAACCAAATGTCAAAGGACCCGGGGTGGCTAACCCGGCGAGGTTGCTCTGATGCTTAAGTTAGTATTGTCATAGTAGACTACGAGCTAAAAATCGCAAAGTATGAGAGATAGAATATGCTTACTTGCTTGCTTGTCCCCATGTCATTGGGGTTGGTGCCCTTATATAAGCATTGTTTGGCGTGAGCTTCACGCACCATATCCGAGATTTCTGAGAAGTCGTCTAAGTGGTTCGAGATTCCCTGAGGTAACCGCCATGCACGTTGACCACCCTCCGGATCGTTAAGCACGTGGGCCAACTTCCAAGGATTGTGGGAGTGTTTGGATATGCATGCCGAATTCGTCGGCGAGCACGTCTTGCAAGTTGCCAGGTCGCGCCTATGCCAGGCCGCCAGGTCGGTGCCTGTGCTAGGCCGCTAGGTCGCGCCTGTGCCAGGCTGCCAGCTTGTGCCAGGGCTAGGCCGCTAGGTTGTTCTAGTGCCAGGGCCAAGCCGCTAGGTCGCGCTAGTGCCAGGCTGCCAGCTTGCGCTTGTGCCAGACTGCCAGCTCGCGCCAGGGCCAAGCCGCCAGGTCACGACTGTGCCAGACCGCCAGGTGGAACACCATCAACTTGGCTAAGGCA